CCATCAAGAGGCCGTGAAAGCGGTGAAGGAGTGGGAAACCATGGATTTAGCTGAAGTGGAGAAGCATTCAAATGCCTTTGCAGTGAAGAAGGTGGACGAGTGGTGGGCATTTGCATGGCAACTGATCGCCAAATATGGTCGTTTAGTGACCACCTTCAATGAATCCAACACCGGTGTGGATTACTATGGCCAGATGTATCCCGGGTGGTGGCTGGAAAGCCCCGATGTGGGTTTCACCCTTTGGTCACCTCCGGGACCGTTTCATGGCATCCCTGACGGCTCCAAATGCCCCAAGTTGCTCTCCCTGGCAGCTTCTGACTGGTCCGACTGGTCCCAATGGTCCCAGTGGTCCCAATGGGCAGCGTGGCTGCCCACATTTTTCGCCTTGGGGGGAGCCTACGTCCTGGGCAAACGCCACGGACGTGCTCTTCCAGAGCCACAGGACCATGGTTATGTCATGGCACCTTGAGGTCCAGGGCGATCCTTTTGCTATCTCCAAGATGAGAAACCTAAGACTTGAGAAACAGCTGCAACCTACGAATTGCTGGATGACTCTTGATGAAAAGATGCTGGCTTTTGCCTTTTTGCTCACCTTTCCTGTTGAGAGGATTCTAAAGTGTCATATTTATCTCAGCTTAGAAAATGGCTGTTATGGCTCAAAAATTGAAGATGCAGGGGACCACAGATTCACCATCCAAGTCTGGGGCACCATCCCGGAAGGTCAAGAGTTGGATTTGGAGGACGAAGAGTGTGGCACCTCAGAGGTATTTGTAATCGCTTGGCTGGCAAGGCTGGCCCTTGAAAGTGACCAACGATTCCCAGTCGCAATGCAAATGTGGCCCAGTGGAATTGCTGTTTTTAAGTCTGGCTTAGCGTCACGAATCGTCTTCGATGTCTTCGTCCCAAGGTTTACTCTGGGTGCTTTGTTGGCCATGGGCTCGGGGCCCCGGAGCGTTGAAACCCTTGGAACAAAAAAACCTTGTGAGCAGTGGCTGCTAGACTCCTATTGGTTGATGAAAAACAGAAGATTGTACTACCCAATGCAGGGATGATCATGGTCCACTATAGTAATTCTTATACACCAAGCAGTATGGAGCGACAGAGGTTTTTTTGAACACTGCGCAATTGAAAATGGGTATGTCAAGTATGTCCGCAGAATTCTTGGAGAAATTGTAGTGAGAGTTTCTTTGAAATTTGACTATTTGGAAGGAGTTCAACTGAGTTCAACACATCACCGTAGCACAGATCTCAGGTGTTGACCAACACATGGAAGCCATCATGGACGTGTCTGGCAAGGTGGGAAGACTGGGTGAACAGATGTGAACAGCCATTCGCTTGGGCCCCCTCTGGGGCATTCGTTGGTCATGCAGATAATATCGGATCAGCGGGTACAGCTGGGTATTCATCATCTACTTGGAGGATTCTCCACATCTCACCGCGCGGTGATGTATCGTATGAGATATCCAACCACTTAGTAAAAACCCATTGAACCACAATGAACAACCATCATTAAAGATCATTGAAGCCATTAAAGCTCCTGGTGGAAAATCATGTCATATGCCAGTTATATTAAACCCATCATTAAACCATCATTAAACCCATCATGAAACCCATCATGAAACCATCATTAAACCCATGGGTATCATGAAACCCATTAAAATCATGTCACCGCCGGTTTCATCTTCCGCTTCCCAGGCAACAGCAGAGCAAGGCTTAGAGGAGATGTTGGACAAGGTCAAAAAGCTGGAAGTCCCAAGCGCTGAAGTCGCCACGGGGCTTGGGAGTCAGTGGGCCCTTTGAACACCCCCACAACGATTAATAAACATGATGGTAACATCTTTAGGGGCTTAAGGGCCCAGACGACTCACAAAAAAATGACTGATTTCAGTTTCGTGACATTATTTGAACTCATCCAGATAATTTTTTGGAATGGGTGGCAGCACCAATCCCCCAAATGCTAGATTTGTTGTTGGGTGTACCGTACCATCAATCACCTAATCCGAATCCAACTGGCGTGTGGAGTTCACTATATGGGTCTGAACATGCTTAGTATACCTCCAGTGATAGCCATTGAATGGGGAAACATTTGCGAAATGTTTAGTATACCTCCAGTTTCCCCATATACATCCAGTTTCTAAATGTTATACATCACAGTTCCAGCGATTGACATCAAATTGCGGGTGTCAATTCATTTGGAACTTTTCCATAGATCATTTTCAGTGAGCCCCGTTGACCCAACTTGATCGACAGTTGTGACGTTGGTTCCAAATTACCCAGGGAACCCCGCAGATTTGGGGGCGGTCTTAGTCTGGGAAGCAGAAGAGATAGACAAGTCTTTCCAGGATGTAGATGATTGGTTTATAGCTAGAAAGACTCATGATATTTTCATGACTAGGCTTATCTACAACATGTAGGTTTTCGCAGTTAATGATCCATGATATTTCCATAATATCCCAGCAGTTGATGAGGACTTGGGAAGATTTGGAGCTTATCATCAACCCCTACAAGGCCGGGCACTGCCGGGCATGTTGCGGGTTTCTTTGGTGGGGAGGTTAGTTTCTCTTGGTTCGATTTTTGATCCATTTTTTTGAATTTTGAATTGGTTTGAGTTTTGACCCACTGCAGATTTTTTTAACCAGTTGAACCATCTATAAACTTGGACATTGGGTTGGCTTGGATGGAATTAGCCAGTGGGACTCAACCTTATACCTATATATGGAAATCGGAAATTGGATGAGATATGGGTTATATATATATATACATTATTGTATATATATATATATTATATGTATGTATTTATATGTAGCGAAAGGAATTGAGCACACAACTAGTTCCAAATGGGTGTAACCCTCATACCTGGAAATAGGCTTCAGAGTTTTCCTTCTGCCTTCTTTTATTTTTGGATCGCATGAATAATATACCCTCTGGTACTTCAAGATAGCCATAGAAAATGGTCAACTTATAGATGCATTACCTCTCAAATCCTCTCAAAAAAGGTGATTCTTTTCCACTTCAACATGTCCAAATACCAGAGGGTACGTGTTCAGGTTTCAGGCATTTCCCACACTGAAAACACCATACCCTCTGGTAATTTAACATAGCTATTGAAAATGGCCATTTATAGTGGATTTACCCATTAAAAATGGTGATTTTCCATAGTTACGTTAGTTTACCAGAGGGTAGCTTAAAACCCTATCCTAACATGAAAAAGCGCAGACATCACCTTTTTCGGTGCAGCGCAGGACAGCAAAGATGTCTTTGTTCTGGGCTCCATCGAAGACATCACCGTCGCCTTGGAAGATTCCTTGGTCACCATTTCGACCATTGCGACTCGCCAAATGTCCGATTTGGGGTTGGTAAATGTCCGATTTTTAACATCACCCAACTCAAAAAAAGGGAGTAATATGATGTAGTCTCCACATAAATTTGAATTCTTTGAAAGTGATATTCAACCACTGCTTACCATTTACATAATGTTTTTGTTGTCTCAGTGATTTGTGGTATCCTAGATCTGGAAAGCACTCAGGTCAGAGGTCAATTTTTCCATGGAACTCCCCATGGATTTAGTACTCAAGATGCAACTTTTTTGGTCGGTCCGTTGGTCATCTTTGACCCATGTCCAATTCATCGGACTTCGGGACAGTCCTCCACACCTCCCAGCGACATCCGGAAAAAGGTGGACTGGGCTGTACGGCTATGGGTCCATAGCCACAGAATAGCAGCTATTTTGGTCGATCATGAAGCCAGGGTCAAAACCCAGATCCATTTCATATGGGTCTGTCCCAAAAGTAGGAACAACTAAATCTAATGGTTCATAAATATTTTCCCTTGAACATGCCATGGTGATCCATTGTGGGGCATCCGGGATAGCTTTTCCTTGCTCTGTAACAGTGAGTAAAAGGTTTTCTTACTAAACAGACCCCCAAATGGTGCACCATTAAATCTTTTTGTTCATACAAGGATTACTGCAGTTTGGGAACACGTAGGAAACTTTGGACTACAAAGCCCGTCCATCCAGCTCAACTGTAGTAATTTCTGGTTGTCACACATCACACATCACAATTTCAAGATGTGCGCTTTTCTTGGCTCAGCGCCGCAAATTTTTCATTTGCTTGCGCCAACCTCTGGATTGGCATAGAAAAAAGATCTAAATCCATCGTGCCCCAAATGGTGCTCTGCAATTTTACAAGGAAAAACCACAATTTCTAGCACCATTTTTTGCTCCGGAAAAACGTTTTTTTTGCATTTCCTCATGTGGCACCATGGCATGATTAGTTTATTTCTTCGTGCACCAAATCATGCCTAAAATCGTGCTACTGTAACAGAGCACGGTAAAGTCACACTTGTCCCATATGGCTTGAGGTAAAGCCACAAGGCCCGTGGTTTCCTGTCTTCCCCGCGGTGCAAGGCTGGAAGTCGATATGTAGGCCCTATTCGAGCAGAGGCGCAGCCAATTTTTCTGGACCAAACTGAACATATTAGCAGCGCAATTAGCGCAGCCTGAGAATTTAGCAGGTCAATATTTTCAATGTCGGTTATTGGCTTGGCCTGATTTCTTGGTCATGGTTAGTTGCGATTTTGTCGGGATGAATGCAGTCCAATATGGGAAGCCTTGTGAAGCAGCGGGCAGACGAGACCTCCATGCCATGGCGCCATTCGCCAGGTGGAACAATGGCAAAAGGATCTGCTGCTTTTCCAGGACCCGGAGCTAGTGGCCATCAAAAGATGGGCACATTTATGGCACATTTTCAGCTGAATCCATATCACCAATTGCTGGGGTTGGAACTGGTATGTCAATGTGAACACTTGAAAGTGAAAGAACTTCCGGTCAGCCATCATCGTGCATTTTTTTTTCGTAAGGTAGCTGGCTCAAAGGTGGCTTGTAGAATCCCATGGCTGCCGAACTTCACCCACCATAGGAGACGCTGGATGAATGGCTAAACGTTCAACGGAATTGGATGTATTTGGAGCTCCTCGGGCAGCAAGATCAACCAGATGGGTTGCGGAACAGTGGTGAATCCCGGCGAAGTTCGTCAGAAAAACGAGACACCGATCACCCAGATGTTGTTGTTGTTGTCGTGGTTGTTGTTGTTGTTGTTGTTGCTGAGTATATCAGAATCTACCATGGATGGTTTGAGTGTTCAACTCTCAAATAAACTATTGATGGTCAGATGCCAAATTCAACTAGTGAAGCTCCCAACATACGATCGCATGCATACATGAAACATTAACAGATATATCAAAAATCAACCACTGATCTCGTCAGGGTTATGTCCCCAGCTATTTCTTGATGCTTCCAACCCCAAGTAGACTAGTGAGGGTTCTATCATCCCTTTCAATATGGGTATGGATCAATACCTATTAATACCATTTTTAGTGGGATGAACATCCATTTACCAGCTATTTTGATGTTCACCAGGGCTACATGGTTTTGACCCATTCCCATATGGGAGGCCCGCAGAAATTCTGGTTTACCAGGGGATTTACACATATTTGGGATCTCATTCCGTGGGGGTGTTCAACAGGATGGGATCATCAGCGGAGCACCAGCCAGGTCCATTTTCAACGCAGGGGACATCAAGAAGCAGCTGCCAGGGGAAAGCGCCAAGTTCCAAGAGATTGTGTCTCGGCAGCGTTGGATTTGGATGGATTTGGTGGACATGGAGCTGTTTGTTGCGGATGACATGATCGCTTTTGCATGTGTTATTTCTATTTTTTGAACTGGATGTTTGTATCAATCTCAAACTTAGACATCCACATTTTATCGGAACTGTTTTGCTTTTCATTTTTTCCATCTTTCTATGGGTCAGGGATGATGCATCCTCCGGTGGCCAAGGATGTACAATGGCGGCAGATCATGAAGGACCGGGACCTCCTAGTCGCAAGCAACATCCATTAGTCATCCAGAAGCCAAGACTTCTCCGGGAATCGAGGAGTAAATAGTGAAATCAACAGGACCCCATTTTTCAGGTTTCATGTCTGATTTAAGGGGTGTACTGTTCCAACGGCAACAGTGCAGAAACCGAGAGGGATACCACTGATGGGTGGTTTGTTGGGTTCTGTTGGATTAAATCCCAGGCGTTTGCTGGTTTCATCTTCAAATCACAGTTCTTGATGCTTACCCTCTGGTAAACTAACATAACTATGGAAAATCACAATTTTCAATGGGAAAATCCACTATAAATGGTGATTTTCAATAGCTATGTTAAATTACCAGAGGGTAAATCATCTTAAATCCCAGTTGCCTAAGATGATTGATGTTGCTTAAGATCATTTATAACACCACTACTCTGAGTACATCCCAATTTTTGGTTGAACTCATCAGGTCCATGGTCCATGGTCCATGCCAGGAGACCTACGAATACGCCGTGGCTCTAAAGGCGGCCACGAAGCCAGGCCGATTGGAGCTCTTCAAGGCAGCCAATTTCGCGGTCGCGATATTGAGTCCCCCACTCCTAAGTTGAAAGGTTTACATCAGTTGACATCCATATATTATATATATACACACATAGTTATCTATATCATCTGATCTATAGTTATCTATGGTTATCGATATTATCTATTATGTATCTACTGAATCTCATCTGTAGTATCGTTATCTGTGGTTGATCTTAATTCTTTCATCTGTAAACGGCCATTCTTCGCGAAGCTTCGGGCCTGCTCCTTGGCCTAACTTTGGCGAAACTTTCGCAAGTATCATTATACATATATATATATCATTATACATATATATATATATCATTATACATATATATATATCATTATACACACATATATATATATCATTATACATATATATATATATACATATATATATATATCATTATACATATATATATATATCATTATACATATATATATACATATCATTATACATATACACATATATATATATATTATTATACTATACACACATATATATATATAGATTATACGGCATCTATATCCGTTTCTATACAAAACCAACCAACGTTGATTACAACAAAATCATATGGTTGACGTTTAACCAACATTGTTCCCCCGGCCGCAGAAAGCCAGCGAGACTTTGGACCAGATTCAGAAGCAGCTAGAGGAGCTGGGACCCGAAAAGCCACGGGGACGATAGCGGGAATTTGAAGGGACCGGAAGACATGGAGATGGGGTGTTCATCAATGATTATTTATATTATAGTTATCGTGACAACTATAGTTACAATACCCAAAAGCTCCATGTATGGAATGTTTACCAACATTTGCCCTAAAAATCACCCAGTCTTGTAGGTAAATATACCAGCACCATGGAGCATATGGGATATATTCAGATGATGGGGTGCTCACCAGTTATTATATATAATGATAATATTATAATTATTAGAATTATCGTAACAACTATAGTTACGATATAATAAAATGAACAATCATCACCAGGCAAGATCGGTGGAAGTTTGGGAGGACTATCTGCTCTCCAAGTGTGTAGCCTTCCCACGTTTCTTCTTCCTCTCCAATGCAGGGAGACTCAGGAAACACCATCCGTGAGAGCGGTAGGTATTATATGGTTAATGTCAACCCCGGATTAATAACCCATGGTTTATGAATTATGGGGATACCTCCAGATAGTGATACTCTGAAAGTCAAATGTTTTTTTTTTTAAACCCCTAATAAAAGACAGCCGTTTGGGGTCTATTAGTCCAGGCTTGACATTATCTCATGTATCTCATTCAGACCTTGGATGCGGATGGATGTGAAACTTTGATTGTCAAGTTTTGAAGGGGCTTTCCGGAGCCAGAGCCGACCACCAAAGGAGACCATCCAGCCTTTGATAACTTATAGAAGTGTGAGACCCACAAACAAATCCCAGAAATCCCACAATTCCATAGGATATTTCTATTTTTTGCCAAAGCCTACTTTGCAGTTATCCTCCAATAAACAAACGCAGACGTGGAGAATTCACCATTGGTACATATATTTTTTCCATTGTAGGGAAAACCATGGACTTCACTTTCATAATTTTCCATATCTTTTTGTGTAAGTTGACCACATGAGCAAACATTCCAAGCAGTTGTTGCTTGATGATGGGAGTTCACTTTTACCCTTCAAACATATTGGAAGCTTGGTCGTTTCAAACATTTTTTTATTTAGAACCATAGAAATCGGATCGTGATCCCCTTGACTCGCGTCATATTTTTGGAATGGGTTGAATGGGTTGAAACCTTCAAACATATCATCCCCAACCTTGGATGGCTAGTTTTAATCCAGGTGTTTGTGCTATAAATGGAACATCACCATAAACAGCAACATATTACTTTTTTGTGGACTCCCAAAGATCTTGGGGATGATTTTCAGCTCATCGGCTCGATTTCTATCTGCTGTGGATCCCATGTCCTTCGTGGAGTACCTCTCGCGCAAGAGCCTGGCGGCTCAGCAGCGACGTGCTGAGCAGCTGGTGTTGCGAAGGGCGGAAGCGGAAGCGAAATGTCAGCAGTGGCTGGAAGAGCAGATCAAAAGATTCAAGGCCCGGGCGCCAATGCCATAATGTCGAGATTGAAGTCCAAAATCCATAGGGTGAAATCGATGGGGATTTCACCATGAGGATCATGGATGATCATGGATGGTAAACCCAATGTCATAAACCATCCCAAACTTGAGGTTTATGAATTTGGGTATACTGCATATACCCCAAACGCAATGGGATAATGTAAAATGACCCCCAGATGTGTTTTTTTTTTAAATAAGGGGTGTTTTTTTTTTTAAATAATGGATGGGTTACTATTGGGGTTTACCACATTAATGGGGAATAAAGAGGTACTGCGTGTATTTGCTGTATGACGAGGTATATGTATGTGTCATTTCTATCATTATGTCTATTTGGGAGGTTGGAAAACATTTCAGAAGTGCATTCCAAGATGAAGTCTCTTCAAAGTGACATAAAGATTTGTTCGGAGACTCTGTGTGTGGAACTTTTGCAGATGGCCAGCTTAGTCCGTCCTGAAGTGCCACAGCCTGAGGTTGGAGTAGAGATAGCTTCCTGCAACACATGGATTAACATGCTTCCAAAGACCTCGAATTCGGACGGATTCTTGCAGATGTTCATAGCACCAAGTACTGTGAGGGTTGGTTCATCAACCTCCTATTACAGATTCTTTGCATTGGGTATGATTGAAAGCGGACTGTGAGCATCAGGAGCATTGTATCGAGCAGAGCGAACATGGCAAGAACAGCGGGAAGATGGTTCTCTCCGACATCAAGTGGCCAAAAGGAAAGAAAGATGAATGCAGCTTAGCTGAAAGAGTCCATTCTTGCCGTCCACTTGTTGGGTCTGAGACCTATAGAAATAGCCCAGCCATGGGCAGTGATGCTGAAAGATCTTTCACCTGAGATCCAATGCCAGGCTTTGAGCTTTTGAAGCAAGAATTGCAAAAGTTGGGATTCGAGAAGGCAGGGATGCTGGGATGCTGAGAAATCAGCTGACGTTTTCAGGGCTTATTGAAGGACTTCTGAACGGAGATCCCTCCAAATTCCTCAGCAGCATTTTGGCCTTCGGCACTTTGGAAAGGTGGAATGAGTGGAATGCACGGGATGGTTGTTGAGCAGCGATTTGTTCCACCTGGAACTTCGAAGTGCAGTGGAGATATTTCATCATGGCCAGCCGCGCCAACAAACCAGCCAACAAACCATCCCCATTTCAACCTGGCGCTGGCCAGGTTGAAATCAAATGCGCACTGGTGGACAAATGGCGGGGTTCGGGAGCCTTCTCAGGACTCATGTGGCTTGGGAGCAGTAAAATCGGGGGGGATCTCGGGATCGACCTCCATGCTATCACGAGGATTTTCCAGCCACATTTGATGACACTAGAGGGTGTTATATATATATATATAATATGTATATATATATATATATATGTATATATATATATATGTATATGTATATATGTATATATATATGAATGATTATGTATAAATCTATATCATAACCATCATCAACCTAATCTTGGGGTTCTTCAGTCTTGACCCATTCTCACATCACAACCAGCAGTCTGGGGCGCCACAAGGTTCGTTTCCGAGCCCACAATCCATGCGTCATGGAAGCTGCTGCCGAATGAGTGCATCGAGGAAGAACCTCAGGCAGGACATTTGGACGTTGCGATGTGGAATCTCCCATGGTCCTTTTGAAATTGGATTCTGGAGGTCTGGTGACATTTTGGACGGCGGTTTCGGCGTTTTTTCGATATGTTCAAAACCATGCTTTTGGAATGGCCAAGCTTTCTTTCTGTTGCCAAAACGCTTTTCTTCAGGGTCTCGGCCTCGGCCCAGATCATATCGGTTCTGTGTGGCTTCTGTAGTGCAGCTTCCGGCGTTACTCTGGAAGTTTGGGTCTGGGTTTCGGTATGGGTTCCTGTTGGAATTAGATGCTCACTGGTTGCTGTCACACTCTCCTACCACCTTTGTGATTGAATCTAGATCGACACCAAAAACTCTGATGTAAGTCACTGGGTGGCTTGCTGGGCAGGTCACTGGGGGCATGATCGATACCTGCGCAATTTGCGCTGAAGTGCGACCACTGGTGGTGTTAGTTCCTTGCACCTTGGATTGAATCCAACAAAGAAGGGACATGTGGAAGACTGCAGCATAAAAAGCAGTGGTTCCGCATTTCAAATAGCGGCTACAGTTTTGCAAATGACCTGTGCATTTGCACCAGATCATGTGCTTGCTGTCTCATGATCACAAATCCCTTCCTCATATAAAACCCAATACGGCCCTCTATGAATAGATCCACTACTGAACCAGGGTTTGGTTTGCTTTCTCAGAGATGCTCTGAGGTGGCCACGTGGTGTGCGCCGATTGTCACTCGAAACGGATCACCCAACGCTGCCCCTTTTGCCGGAACGTGGTCCGTTGCACGACTCAGGGCCTGTTTTTCTCGTAGCCTAACGAGGGCCACTTGTCGCACCATGGTCGCTGAAGCTGTAAACCATCCAAAGGGTCACTGCCATGAGAGAGCCAATATCCCAGAATGATTTGGATAAATGATAGTTGATATACGTTTGATATGATAATGTAATAATGTAATATTATAATGTACAGATGTTCGGGAAGACATCAAGCAGGTCCAAAAAAATCTGGTTTGAGAACAAGTTGCAGCAAGTTTGCGGACACTTGTCTTCAACTCAAACTTTTTTGAGAGCAGTGTGGCACTGCCCATTGCACGAAAGTGGCGCTTCCTGAGTCACTTGCCTAGTGACTGGAGCGGTTCACTACTGGTACCCTCGATGGTGCCGTGACGTGATGGTGTGGACACGGAGTCGGTGACAAGTTGATGGCGATGGTCACATCGTTATTTTGCCTGTGCTCTGTGTCGGTTGTATCATGCTGCACCAAGAATCGGATCCAGCCACACTATCACATTAATTCGCTGGAATTTGCCTGCAACTTTGGTCATCGGGAAGCTAATCTCTTTGAGGCCCAGATGACACCACCGCAATTCATTGGAAGCCAGCCGTACAGACCCTTCACGATTTGCTGGAATCACTATAAAGGGCGAGTTCTTGTTTGTTGGTAACTTGCCAACAGATTCCCGGTCTTGAAGGGTAGCTGGCCAAGATGGTTTGCGGATTGCAGAGGTTGTACATACTTCTGGAAATTGGGGTCCCTTTCCAGGACTTTCCGGAAGGGGGTTGGGGACCCCAGGGTTCAGAAACTCTGCAAAAGAGGGGCTTTAAGCCGAAGCGACCGACTCAAGAGCGAGCGGTTGCACATTTTTCATCGGTCTGAGCGACCGCCTCAAACAACTCGAGCTGTTTGGCGCAGCGCGGCTGCACAGTTTACCACAGAGATGTACCAGGGCTTTACAAACTTCGGGTGTTAGGATCCCCTAAAAATCCTAAAACAATCGTCCAACAATAGATGAATATCATCGAATGAATTCATCATAATTCATCACCTATAAAAAATCGACTCGCACTGACTCCTGGTTTCCATGGGAACGTCAGGTTTTAAGCAGCCCTGTAGCATCAGTTGTTGCCAACGTGAGCGAACTTGGACCGAGCCAAAACGAACCGTCTGCAGGAAGCATTAAGAATGACCACAGCTATATGGGGGTTTCTTAAAATGGAGGATCCCCGAGTCACCATGGTCGTTTCATGTCGTTTCATTACCAAGTCATGGTCAAATTTGGATGATTTGGTGTACCCCCATTTTGGAAGCTCCATATATGGAAAAAAATTGAGTGGAATATCATGGGACACATAACATATATACCAACAAGATGATATTGAGGTCCATTGGGCCTGTCTGAAAATTGGGGCATGCTGTCAAAATGGTTGCTGGGACAATGACGATAAACCGATAAACCAGTGTATTACTGGGATGCCCATGGATGCCCTATTTCAAAGCCATCTATTGAAATTGGACCATGGTTGCAATCTATTGGACCCAATTCTGGGACTGACTATCGGACTATCGGTATCAAGTTCTTCACACTTCAACGGCTCAGAGTTCCGAGGGCAAGCTCTCCCATCAGTTTGGGTGTCTTCCAAACATTGTTGATGATCAAAATTCATCCAAGATCTCTAATTCTTGAAGATCTCCAACTCATTCAACACATGATCTATTTTCATTCCGTGGAACCCCCATGGCTTTCGGGTCTATGGAGGGACGGACTCCTCCAAGGATGAACTGCTGGAGATCCTCTCGCAAGCCAAAAGGCCACAGGCAAGGGGAGACCCATGGAGACCCCCCCCATTTTTTGATGGATGATCTAGCCATTTCCCAAAGAACATGGCAAAAATATGCAAAAATAGGGGTATCCCCTATTTTCAGACAAACTCCAAAACTGGTTCAATCATTTCTCACGTTTGAGAAGGACATCGAAGTGTTTTCCTTCCGTGAACTTGTTTCTTCGTTTGACCGTATATTGCATGAGGCTAAAAAAAGAAGCACCCCCAAAGGTGACCACCTGAGTAACGGGTTAAAAAAGGCTGTGCATCGGTTTTTTCCGCAAAATCGTAGAAATTCAATAGGGAAAATGATGGGAATTGGTGTTTACCATGGATTTTAGATGATTTTACAGTGCCATAGTTTCGGACAAACCCATGGCAGGCCGTACAGCCCCATCTGCGCAAGTGTTTCGATAACTTGGTGAAGTTGAAGCCGGGAAGCTCGGGTGTTCTCTGAATAGCGAACCGTTTAAGAAGAGTGAAGCATCACGTCCCATCAAAATAGTGGTTATATAAAGTTATATATATATGTATAATTATATATATATGTATATACATATATTTGTATATATATATGTATACATATATATATATATTTGTATATATATATATAAAGTTATGTAGAGTGATGTAAAGTTGTGTACAGTTACCAGTAGTACCGCACAAGGCGGTGGCGGAAGTTTCAAAAATAGGAAACCTATAGGAGAAGTTGGTTGTTGTGAATCAGGGATGGCAGAGCGAAGCCACTGATTGACCGAAAGGTGGTTGGAGTTGTGTTTGCTGGAATGGTTGCAATGGTTGCAGTGGTCACCTCACCCACAACTGCTGGATTCTGCTGGATGTAGTGTGATGTACTGCAACTGTAGTTGTAGTTGTAGCGTAGTGGAGTTGTAGTTGTGGTGTAATGTAATTAGTGTAGTGTACTTGCAGTCATATGGTTGTAGCTGTAGTTGTTTTGTAGTTGTAGTTGTAGTTGTTGTAGTTGTAGTTGTAGTTGTTGTAGTTGTAGTTGTTGTGTGGTTGTAGTTGTTGTGTAGTGTAGTTGTAGTAGGAGTAGGAGTAGGAGTAGTAGTAGTAGTTGTTGTTGTTGTTGTAGTTGTAGTAGTTGTAGTTGTAGTTGTTGTTGTTGCTGTTGTTGTAGTTGTAGTTGTAGTTGTAGTTGTAGTTGTAGTAGTAGTAGTAGTAGTTGTTGTTGTAGTAGCTGTAGTTGTTGTAGTTGTAGTTGTAGTTGTAGTTGTTGTTGTTGTGTAGTTGTAGTTGTTGTTGTAGTTGTTGTTGTTGTTGCTGTTGCTGTTGCTGTTGTTGTTGTTGTTGCTGTTGTTGTTGTTGTAGCTGTTGTAGTTGTTTTCTACTTGTAGTTGTAGTTGTTGTGTAGTTGTTGTAGTTGTAGTTGTAGTTGTAGTTGTAGTTGTAGTTGTAGTTGTTGTGGTTGTGTTTGTTGTTGTTGTTGTTGTTGTTGTTGCTGTTGCTGTTGTCGTCGAAGTTAGGGTAGTTAAGTTAGTGAAGTTAGTTAAGTTAGTCAAGTTAGTTAAGTTAATCAGTGTCTACTTTTTCGACATCTTCACGTCAAAAAAGGCTCAAAACCCTCAGTTTTTTACACTTTTGACTTCGAAATGTGCTTCGCGCCACAACGGCGTGCACTTTTTCGACACTTTTTTCGACACGCCACAACGGCGTGCACTTTTTCAACATCCAAAAGTGGTCCGACCGGCAGTTTTTGTACATTTTGACTTGGAAATGTGCTTCGCGCCACAACGGCGTGCACTTTTTCAACATCTCAACTTCCAAAAGTGGTCCGACCTGGGTGTTTTGTACATTTTGACTTGGAAATGTGCTTCGCGCCACAACGGCGTGCACTTTTTCGACATCTCAACTTCCAAAAGTGGTCCGCTCCTCTAGTGTTTTGTCCATTTTGACTTGGAAATGTGCTTCGCGCCACAACGGCGTGCACTTTTTCATGTCTCATCTGGCCAGCTGGCTCCGCACCCGCTGCTTTAGAGAGCCTACTTTTCGACCCTCCGGAGCCACAAATCATTGGAAAAACACAGTGAATCGCGACTTTCCTATCTTTTCGCGCATCTACCTCTTCTTTCTTCTGATCTTGTCTCTTCTGACTCTTCTCACCTCTGCTTTTCAACTGTCCATATTGTCGGAAGTTTCACTTCTAAACTTCCTTCGATTATATGTACTTTTTCTATATTTTTTGGGCTTGTTACGGTACTATTTTTTCATCTTCAAACTTCGAAGTCTCTTTTGGGTTCAGGCATTTGGTGTCGTAAAGTGAAGCAGCATAGCTGGAACTGCACTTTTAAATGCTGTGAAGACACCGAAGTACTTGGTAAATGGATGCATATCCTTCCAGCACCTTCTGTTTCATTAGTTTCCTTTTGCCCAGAATCACTCTTGCAATCTGCAAATGTGCGGAAGTCTGCACCAAATCCAACACATCCGCAGATCCTGGGAGGTTTGGGGATGGCGCCAACAGCACCGACATTCATGCCATGATCAGTGGAGAAGGGGAAGAGATTCCTTTCTACAAGATGTTGAAGGCGAATTCGCATGCAGAAGCAATCAGAAATGGAAAGTGAAGTCGCAATGATTGGGATGAACATGGGTTTATAGGGGATTGTCCAAGGTAGGTACAAACATCCTTCTATGGGATTTAGGGATTGCCAGAGGGGTAACCAAAGATCTGGTTGGTGTTTTCCTTTCTTTTAGTTCCATCGTTTTCATCCTCTGAAATTACGGGATGATGGTTCCTATAGACTTTCCGAATTTTAGGGCTGTTGAAACTGCCACTTAGTTGGGTAATGTTGGGTATACATTCTGAAATTTGGGGATCTGAGAAAAAACACTCATCCAAACCTCTTGTAGGAGGGGGAAACTCTGCCGGTTCGCGGATGTTCCAACTTTTACGACAATTGAGCAGTGTTCAAAACCCCTGTTGGTTCGTGAATTTGTGTGGGGTTATGAACCTACCCTTTAATATATTGGGGATGATCATTGCCAATCATGATCCATGAGCTGGAACAACAAAGTGCCATGACACAGAGGGTTTGGAACACAGCCTGGGAATGTTTAGTAATCTCCACAGTAGGTTCCAAACAGCTGGGCCTTGGTCTTCTTGGTCATCTCGAGGGTGGCCCTGGTAGGCAAGAAACGGAGTGGAGAAGTGGCTGAGTGCTGAAGGTGGAGTGGAAGAATATATGGTGAAAACCATGAGGGCCGAGGTCAAAAGAGGCTGTGGGTTCAGTGGTTCAGTGGTGGGGCCTGTGGGCAGTTGTTTGTCTCTAGACATGCAAATTGGTTGTTGGTTGCGCGTGTTTTTGTCTTTTGTTAAAATGCCTAGGTGGAGCCATCTAGATTCAGATGGAGAATGACTCCAAGAACTAAGTTTTTTGTGGCTATGGTAGATATCACGAATTGCAGTTGATAGGGTTAAAAAACACCAACATACATCACTGAAATTTTCCCTTCCTTCTTTGGACCGGTCAATTCTAATGGCTGCGATGGCCAGGATGGGAGACCTATGCGCAGGAGTCTGATCGCAAGGAATGGGTGCGGAAGCAATACTGTCAGGCATGGACCGTTGACCGGTGTGGGGAGCGTCAAACTTGGTAATTTTGGTCAACAATACCTGGGGTAGAACCTAGGACCTAGATTTGTTGTTGATTGGATGGAGTTTTACTTGAACCAAAGAATTGGCTGGCCGGTTTCAGTCTCAAAACCACTGGAATAGTTGGCTCTCCAACCCTTGGAATACCGAGCAGATTGGAAGTTCACTGCCATGCAGGTTTGCAAACACATCGGTCCAAGCAGCTCCAAACAAAGACCACAAGGTAAACGGACAATGCCATAAGCCTCCAACTTTGGTTTATGCCAGCATTTTCTGGTGATTTTTCGGGTGAACAGCCAGGATTTTTCGACCTGAAGTCTGAAGTGCGCCGCAGGTGATGATTACTGTGGGATCCATCTACTGGACCTTGGAGACAGAAGAAGTTTTGACTGCCACAGATGGAAGCAAGGCCAGGGAGTCATTGGATTCGACGCGTCGGTGTTTACCCCAGATGTCCGTTGAAAAAATTGGGGTTGATTAAACCGTGTTTGATGAGCAGCACCCCCTATTTTTACTTTGTTAGTGCCTCCTTTTTTCATCCTTTTGTTGCTGTAAATGCGTACATATTAATTTTTGTTAATTCTATTCCCAATTTGGGTATAGTTGCAGCCAAGAATATTATAATAATAGCCAGCTTTGCATATACATAGTATAGTTCCGTTTTTGGGTCCCAATGTTGGCACTTTTGGGTAGCCAACTTTCACCAGTCGCACCAGGTGCAGCTGATGGGTAAGTGGTTTCAGAAGAACAAGACCCAGTTGGAAGGTCTGACCGTCGGATGCTCAGAGATCAATCTGGGTAAACTATATCAATGGATTGGTTTAAGGGAAAATTGAAACCGGAAAGCCCCATATTTAATGGGAAAATACCCATGGTTTCCGGTGAAGATTTTCCCAACAAAACCAATCCATGGACTATGACGTGACCTCACATCGTGGCCGAAGCCTGGTTGCTTATGGTGAATGTTGGGGGAATGATCCCAGCCAATATCCCAATATGATCATGCATTATCTTGGTGAATGTATAGGAGAACGATCACTTCCAATGATCCCAACAAAAAAATAGCCTGAAATATCAGGTTAGCGAATGAGTTTATGCCCGGATCAATGGATTCATCGAAAAACACAGGATGGAAGTCGTTGTAGAACTAGCACCAAATTTGGGGCTTCGGATTGGAATTTTCCTTTTAACCAATTCTGGAATCGTTGCTGATGATTTTAGTTTTTTTCCGCTTGATTTCAAGGACATGTTTAAATGATAACTCTTGTGTTTTAAGCGGTTTCCGCGGAATCTCGAGCAGTTGAGCTTACTGCGGTTGCAGCTGGGTTTTGCAGCCACACATTCGCCAGTTCGAAAGGGCTCCCCACCGAAAGAACATCTGTGGAACATCTGTGGTGGGCCAAAAGCCCAATTTTCTTTGGATCCCATATCCGAATGGATCCGGGTGGTTTCAGATATAGTTTAATGGTAAAATGGCGGGATATAAGTATGGGATATAACTATATATAACTGATAAAGCTGGTTGGTTTTACATAACAAACCAACCAGAATTTAGGACAAATCAACCCCGAAATGACCACTTTTTTCGATTGGATCCAGGAACTGATCCGTGACAAGTTGAACAAACTGCAACGGAAGGGTGTGGTGGCACTGGTCACACAGGTCCGGACTTCAGGGTTGCACCGGTGGGACATTTCACAGACCCAAGGATGATCATCTGAAATAGGGACATTCAAGTTACATAAGCTCCAAACATCGCACCTTTGTAGGGATCCATTCTGAATCTCAGATGTTGTTATTTATATATATATATTTGGGTTGCAAGCACATGCTGCTGCTATTAGCTCCATGCTGCCATGCTGGCAGCGCTGAACAGTCGCAGTTTTTGCAGGGAAATAGGAGCCTAAGACCAAGCATTCTAGCGTATATAATTAGTAAAGTGCACCAGTTGGCAACTATTTGGCAACTATGAACCACGGTAAATAATGAGATTATAATGGGATAAACCATCTACCAACTGGTGCAGGATTTCTTCCACAGTATCATGGGGATATAATGGTATGTAGCGGTATACATACACACATATATATGTAGCCAACAATATGACAGTGATTTTGTCTGAACATCCTTTTCCATTAACACATCCCTCGTTTTTGGACAACCGCCAATGGCATTGGATATCACAACCAGATTTTTTAATTCAGATTCAAAAGTCCTGATGGATAGCCAACAAATCTCGAGATGAATTAAAGACCATTGGTAGAATCTGCCATTTCTATTTTTTTTCCCAATTCAATGGCAAGGACGTTTTGGTCCGGTCATTTTGGTGGATTGCCCAGCTAGACATGTTTGACGCCAGGATGTGCACAATCGCGATATCATCCAGGCGCACCATTTGCCACCTGTGGCACTGTGGGGGCACCTTTGGATCGTGTGCGCCGGTCTTTTGACATCAACTGCTTGTACTTTCTATTGATGTTCTTCTGTCATGTAGGTAAATATACCATACATGGAGCATATGGGATATAGAAACCATCTAGAAATGGATGTTCTTCTGTTGTGTATGAGGATTGCGGATTTCAATGGAACTGGCAATGAATATGTGGGATTTTGAAGGGTTTCAAGTTTCAAAATCGTGCGAATGGAAGACCACGCTCCTCTGCCAGGATCTGTTCGATAACAAGATCACCAGTATGCAGAACTTCAAGTGGCAGCAGCAACTGAGGCCGCTCGGAATTCCGATGTAATCGCGCTCACCATTTTCAACTGCAGATTTAGCGACTTATGTACTTGGTGCCATTGACCTTTGCAGTGGCCGCTGGATGCTGGAGGATTTTTTGTGGTCTGAAAGTCCCAGTCCTTTTCACTCCACCATTGATGCGAATGAACTTGATGACTGTGGGCATCAACAGTCTATGTTCTTGAGTACCATGCGATTTTCAATCTGAAGATAGGCCAGCCGCGGTTTTGGACGACTTTCTCCCCCCCACCCCTTACCACTGACACGGCCCAGGTACTATTGGGATCCCAAGCTGGACGGTGATCACGGCGACTGTTGCATTCGCCAGGTGCAGAGCCGAGTAAGTCATACCCCAACCATACTTGGGCAATTACGAAGCTATACGAACCTCAATTTTTCGCAATCATTGGGAGGACGCCGTGGACATTTGTTTTTCTGGACGGAAAAAGTAGCGTTTGAAGATGGATTGCTTATCCCATCGATGACTCTCCAGTGCTTTCCAGGTGGATGCTTTCATCATGTATGGCCACGAGTACATGGGAGCCTTGGCGATTAGCTGGGACGAAGAAACTAACTTTTCGACTTCCAGTGGATCTCCAAACAACATGATGATATGATACATATAGAAGATAGAATATATATATACACACTATATATATAGTATATATATATACACTATATATATAGTATATATATATACACTATATATATATACTATATATATACACTATATATATATACTATATATATATACTATATATATACTATATATATACACTATATATATATATATACACTATAGTGTTATACTATATATATATTAAACATGAGGTTGAAGTCTCAGACATCTCATGTCTTTCCCAGGTGCCTTGTCCAGACTGGTCATCACTCCGCTGACGGATCGCTGTTGGATGACCATCACTGGAGACCGGGCGCCTGGTGGACCTCGCTGGTGAAAGGTGGGTGAACGCCGGTCATTGCCCAGACAGTTTACCACAAAAAGGACAGATTTGTTGTGATGGTTTCCATATGTTTCCATGATCTCTCCAAGTTTCCTATTCTTTTTGTCTTATTGGATGTTGAAACCACCAATCAGTATGATTTCCTCCAACAACCTGTTTGACCACGGGCAATCACCGCTCCCCCGAAGCTCCCAAGGCCTTGCACATCAAGCTGGGAGCTGCTCCGGCGGGGCCTGCGGGGACAGGAAAGACCGAGTCGACCAAGGCGCAGCGAGTGCAAGTAGCGGAGGGTGGAGGGTGAGTTGGAGTAGTATGATCAGACATGATGATCATATTAATATATATATATACACTGACATATATACACAGACATAGGATGATGTTTTTTTTGGGTAACTATCCCGAATAGGCCAAACAAATCAGATTTGTGAACTAATTAGTCCAGTTTACCCAGATAATATAGTATAGACATAGTGACAATAATAGTAGTGCATCAGCATATTAAGATGATAACAATTCGATGACATTGCTGACAATAATACTAATTATATCAATCACAATAGTGATAGTGACAATAATGATCATAATGTCAAGCATCATCATTATCACAATAATCGGGATTGAACTTATTTAACCCGCTTGTTATGGGATGTTCTCTGGCTTTGACTGGCAACATATTTGCACAATGGAGTATGTTTTTCATAGCGAAGTGTCATCCATTAGCAGAGGCTCACACTGTCATTGGATGCATCGCACACCTCCCTGGGATGATGGTAGTAAGAATCATAGTGATAATAAAAACAACAACAGCAACAACAGCAGCAACAGCAAGAACATGATAATAGTAATAACGATCCTAACAACCTAGCACAAATATAGAATAATATATAATGTATAGTATATAATATATAATATATAATATATAATATATAGTATATAATATATAATATATAATATATAGTATATAATATATAATATATAATATATAATATATAGTATATATTATATATTATATATTTTTTTATCTATAGTATATAATTTGATAAACCCCTGTAATGCATATAATATAAATCAGGATTCTGGGGCCTGGGTTTTAATTTTGGAGGGTTTCTGGGTGTTAAAACTGGTTTTTGAATGGTGCAGGATACATATCAAAACGGTGTTGGCTCAGCACTATTCGTTAGTGGTGTTTTATCCAATTCTGCTCTGGTTTACATATGCGTGGTTTATTCAGGCTACCCCCGTCCAGGTCGGCCCAGGTCCGCCTAAGTCTGCCCAGGTCAATCCCAACTTGCAGGTTCTCCCAGGTTCTCCCAGGTTCTCCCAGGTTCTCCCAGGTTCTCCCAGGTTCTCCCAGGTTCTCCCAGGGTTCTCCCAGGAAATTAGTGATTTCCTGCGTTTTTGTGGGTTTCCGGGATTTCCTGGGAGAACCTGGGTGTTATTTTCTGCGTTTTTGTGGGTTTCCGGGATTTCCTGGGAGAACCTGGGTGTTATTTCCTGCGTTTTTGTGGGTTTCCGGGATTTCCTGGGAGAACCTGGGTGTTATTTTCTGCGTTTTTGTGGGTTTCCGGGATTTCCTGGGAGAACCTGGGTGTTATTTTCTGCGCTTTTGTGGGGTTTCCGGGATTTCCTGGGAGAACCTGGGTGGAAACAGTTGGGGATGGGCCTGGGAGAGCTGCAAGAGTTAGTTCGGGGAAAAGTGGCTGGAGGGTGGCCCGCTATTTTGACCCGCAACTTCTAAATTTCTGCCGCAGGCGTTGCCGCCCCCTTTGGCCTGCAGGTTTGCCACGCTTTAAAGTTTAGTTATAAGCATTACAGGGGTATAGCAATATATAATATATAATATATAATATATAATATATAGTATATAATATATAATATATTAAATTTTATATACAGTATACAATATATAGTATAATATATATATAAAAATTATATTATATATATAATATTTCATATATATTATATATTATATATTATATTATATATATTATATATATTATATATATATTATATATTATATATTATATATTATATATATTATAAACATTAAATATTATATATCATTAAATATTATATATTATTTATTAAATATTATATATTATATATTATTTATTAAATATTATATATTATATATATTATATATATTATATATATTATATATATTATATATTATATATAAATTATATTATATATATATTATACATTATATATATATTTTTTAAAAAATATTATATTATATATATATTATATACTATATATTGTATACTATATATTATATATATTGTATATTTTTATTTTTTTTAATATATTATATATTATATATTATATATATAATATATTATATATATTATATATGATTTATGATATATTATATATTATATATTAGATATCATATCATATTTATATATTATACATATTATACATATTATACATATTTTACATATTATACATATTTTACATATTATACATATTATACATATTATACATATTATACATATTATACATATTATACATATTATACATATTATACATATTATACATATTATAGATTATACATGTATATTATATTTATATTTACTTATTTATTCATTTATATATATTATATGTATATATGTAATAATAAATAAATAAATGAATAGATAAATAAATAAATAGATAAACAAATAAACAAATAAACAAATGAATTAAATAAATAAATAACTAGATAAATAGATAAATAAATAAATAAACAAATAAATAAATAAACAAATAAATATAATAAATAAATAAATAGATATAATATAATAAAGTCCTGGTTTCCCATTCCCAGTTTTTCGAGCCAGGACTTGGCCAAAGGCTTGGCCCGGCAGTGTGTGGTCTTCAACTGCTCGGATCAGTGGGGGAACCAGCTGCAGTGGCTATAACCCCCTGGTTGATGATTAGTTCGGGGATTATACGAATTCTCTGGTGGAAAGTCCAACTTTTGCAAGGGCTCATAGATGGATGATTCCTGGATGATGGATGTTTGTTTCTGGCTTCAAGAAAGGGATTTTCCCTTGCCATTGTTGAGTTCCGAAGCGTACTCGGGACAGCAGGAAGGATTCAGAAGGCCCCTACCCGTTGGTTTGTTGCTAAGGATCAATTACCAGATGATGGGCAAACTCTACAGTGGTGTCGTGAGGCAAACAACGGTGTTGCGGCACCTGGGTTTTGCCCCGGTGTTGAGTTACACTTGGACCTTGCTGGCGATTTCACATGGAATTGCTGCTTTCCAGCTGGCTATTCAAATTTCTCTTGACATTCCAGCAAGTCCTGCAGTCAGCAAGTCCTTCCATTCTTGTTGGTGTCATATTTCTGAAGTGGACAACCACCCTCCCATATTTGAAGGTTTCCTAAGTGGGGGTACCCCTAAATCATTCATTTTTTCATAGGATTTTCCATGAACCATCCAGCCCTTGGGGATCCCCAATTTCGCAAGCGGCAGTGCTGGCGCCTGGACTTGCCTCGATGAGTTCAACCGCATCAGCATCGAGGTGCTGAGTGTGGTGGCGCAACAGGTGCGAGGGGGGAGCCCTTTTGAGGGTTGGAAGAGGTACAAAGTCTTCACTTCTGTTGGGAGATCATAGTTCCTGATATGATTTCATGATTCACTGGATTGGTTTAAGGGAAAATCTACAGGAAACCATGGTTTTTACCATCAAATATATATAGGGCTTTCCTGTAAATTTTCACATCATCCAATTCTATGATTATTTCATGGGGATGGCTTTTTTCAATGGTCCAAAGCTATGAAATCACCACATGAGGATGGGAAATGACTAGCGATTTTAGGGTACCATCCCGGTTCCAAGGTACTGGAGATTCGACAGGCTTTGCTACAGGCGCTGGGATTGGAGATTTAACGATGAGCTGATGATCATATTACTATGATTACTATTCCTATTACTACTCCAATTATACTACTAATGATATAGTTGACTGATAGTTGAATGACTAGTTGATGTTTTGAATTCACATTGCTTTCATGTCAAGATTGTTTTACAATTTGAGCTTTCTCATGAGTCTTTTTGATCAGCACGATTGAAGCCAATTCGCTATTCTCATTAGTGTCCTGCTGTCTGTGATTTCTCATAGTTTCAATCACCATTTATAGATGATTTACCATGATTTACCTATATATTATAACTGGTAATTTGCCATGTTTATTGTAAATTTCACACGTTTCATCATGTTTCAGTGTTTTGAGATTTGTGCATCCACTTAGGGTTGTTGGCGCTCCCTACGTTTGTTGTCTGATTGCTTTAAATCATATGAAGATCCTTTGTTGACTTCTCTGTAATAACACCTCAGTCCATGCTCCCCCAAAGGGCATCGTGCACGCGGAATTCAAAGAACGATGATTCCAGCAACAGAGAATCATCATAATTTTTCAGAAGTTGGAATTTGATTTCATAGGACTTTCAGCTTTCACCCACAATAAACTGCAAACATCGATTTCTGGGATACTGAAGCTTCGATTGGCAGGACTTGTCGGAGTTTGTCTTCGAGTCCAGGCAGTTGAAGGTAGGAATGGATGGGGAAGCCCATGGTTTCCCTAGGAACATGATCTACAAATGGTGGGAAAACACCACATCGAACTCATCGAAGTGTAAATGTTTACAGGAGGGTAAGTTTCTGAGGTTGGCCTTTGGAGATTTGAACGTTCAGCAGCTTTGGGCACAGGAACATCTTTCATATTTATGTAAGAGGGCCATAGAGAGGGCCCATTTCCACATTTTGCTGTGTTGCATCTCCAAGCTTGGAAAGGAGTTTGATGATTGGCATCATGTGAGTATTGTTAAAGTGTTTAGGCTTTGTGACTTGTACTTTTCTGAATTTCGATGATATGAACCTCTGATTCATTATACATCTATTCAGCAGCTCAGCAGTGCAGGTCAAGAATACCTGCGGTATCTTCATTACGATGCGTGGGTCTTATGCTGTCCCAGAGTTGAGGCCTTGTCCGCCTTGTCCATCCCCAGAATAGTTTTCTTGATGCTCACATATCCATATGTTTAGATATGCTTGGATATCCTGACATGTGTTTTTGTGAGATGCAGATACATACAGATACATACAGATAGACATATGCACGCACCTTGATAACAGCATATCAGCCTGGTGGTTTCAACTCCGATCCACGACGGCAACAAAACACCGCCAGGGCAAAAACGGCGGAATTGAAATAAAGCTTTCGTCCCCGCTGAAAACTCTATATTAATATACATTTCTATATGTTATATGCTATACATATGCCATATGCTATACATATGCCATACGCTATACATATGCCATATGCTATACATATGGCATATGCTATACATATGCCATATGCTATACATATAATTACATATATACATATAATCACATATATACATATAATCACATATATAATCATATATATATATGCACATAATTACATATAATTACATATATATATATATATTATATGTGTTACACATGTGTGGGTCACTCTGCATCTCGAATTCTTCCTGGCGGCTCGCTGAGGAACCCAGGCTACGCTGGCCGCACGGAACTGCCGGACAACTTGAAGGCCACGCATGTCACAGTGAAAGAAAAGTCATGGTGATAAAAAGGATCAGACTCATAAATGATACATAATGATACATAATGATATATAATGATATATAATGATATATAATGATATATAATGATCAAGGATGCTGAAATATGATAAACTATGATAAAACCATTGACTTATATATGTATATATATATACACACGTATGTGTATTATATATACACCTATATGCATTATATGTATGACATACGTGTATAGGTATATGTCCGTATATTATATGTATTATATATATATACACGTATATGTATGACATACGTGTATAGGTATATGTCCGTATATGTATATATATATATACATGTATATGTATGACATACGTGTATAGGTATATGTCCGTATATGTATATATATATATACATGTATATATATATAATATGTATATGTATATATATATATATGTATATATATATATATGATATATATATATGATATATGCATAATTATGCATACATAAGGCTAAGCGTTCAGCTATTCAGCCTTCCATTTCATTCTGCACCTTGGCCAGGTGCTGTTCCGGCCAGTTGCCATGATGGTGCCAGACTACACACTCATTGCAGAGATCATGCTCTATGCCGAAGGCCCTTTGGCCGTGGGATGCAACGTAGCCGGTTGGTTCTGGAGGGAATAGTAGGAGACTCTTGGTATGTTGGTGGAAGGTCATGAAATTTGGGAATTGCTGATAGATTCGTTGGGTTGTGAACCACCTGGAGGTAGCGACGCAGGTTGAATGCACTTTTGAGTGAAACGACTGCAGTATCAGTAACGGCTCCACGGCAACCCTTGTGAGCAACTCTCACACTGCAAACGTGCCAACTAGCTACAGTCTTTGGTACGCTGCTGGTCGCTGCGCGTCGCTGAGTCAGATCCCGTCCCATGGCTCCGCTGAAACTTCAAGTGGTTGGACTGGACGGCAGCTCCTTCAGCCTGCGAGTGGACGATGGCATGTCCTGCCGGGAGCTGCTTCAGTTGGTCTCGCGGCGCTTGCCGGCGAAACCCGGAGCGGTTCCGGTGCTGTGCAACTGCCAGGGATCCAGATTGAGGACGACGGAAAGTCTGAAAGAGGCCTTGGTACCAGGAGATGCTGATTTTGTGACTGTCTCATATGTGTACAAGAGCATTGTGCCGGAGTCTCAGTGGCCTTCTTTTCTTTATTGTCAATAAAAAACAGGTTGATCGTCCACCTTCCAAAAGCTCAAGGTAATATATCAAGGTGATAAACTTGAAGATAGGTGTGGCTGGTTTCAATTCTTTCAACCCAAAAATCATGCAGGACCCCCAAATCCAATAGTTTGTCATCAATTTGCCCATGAACATGTCCTCAAATTGGGATATTTTGGGGTATCGCCACCATTTCCAAGCTAGTTTACAGTAGCCTCTAGTGATTTTTCGCATGGCAATCGGACATCCATTTGGTTCAGGATTTCCCACGTGCCGTGGCCTTGGGTGACCTAGGTGGAACGCCTGGTCGGCGCTGACTGAGGAGCCACGGACGCTTCCGGATGACGAGGCTCTTGAGGGAACGACCTCTTTGCAGTACAACAAGCAGAGCATCGCAACGTTGGACGCCTGGCCTGTTTGGTCGGATTTTTCTGAGACATTGGCTAAACCTCCAGGTTTTTTTTCGATGTCTTTAGAGTCTTTTCTCTTTTTTTCTGAGAAATTGGGTAAACATTCACCGTTTTCCCGATGTGTTTTCATTTTTTGGATACTTCCGGAACGACTGAGTTACTGTAATCCACTATTCATCTTTTTTTGGTTCTCAAAGAACATAGTTGTATGATGGCACATTATGATCCGCTGAAAACGGGGAAGCTGCTCTTGGAAATATGATCACTATATGTATTGTTATCGTGATTGCTATGATTGTTTCTCTTACTACTATTCATTGTCATTATTGTTGTTTTGATGGTAATTATATTCATTATTCCTTTCCTTCTATTTACTATTCAATGTTTAGTGTGATAACTAAATAATTATCTTTACAGTTATTCTGACCATTAAATGATTATTCATGGTCATTCCTAGGTGAATCACTGGTCCATTTTTCCTAGCACCCATCAGCAACTCCAAGGAGTCGGCTCTTCCGCAGAGCCTGCGGGAGTTGACCTTTGGAAATGACTTTGATGAGAGCATTGCTGGGCTGAAACTTCCAAGTGGCATAGAGATTTTAAGCTTCGGCGACCGCTTCAACCAGCCCCTCGACCGTGCCAATCTGTCGGAAAACTTGAGATCCCTGACCTTTGGGGTCAATTTCAACCAGAATTTGGAGCATGTTTTGTTACCACATCGGCTGCAAAGCTTAACGTTTGGATGGGACTTCAACCAGAGTCTGAGCTGTGCTCTTCCGGAGAGCCTCCGGAGCCTGACCTTTGGCTACAGCTTTGATCAGAGTATTGCGTGTCTGAATTGTCCGAAAGGCCTGGAACATTTGAGCTTTGGCTTTTGCTTCAATCATCCACTCGGGGGCGATCCTTTTCCAAGCGCTGACGGCCCAGTTGTGGAGGGGAACTCACTGGACATGGGAACGTCGGATGGTTCAGTAGTGTGAGAATCGCCATCAGTGGTTCCATTAGTGCCATTGGTGCCCCATCTTGGGTCGGATCCCATGTGACAATAGAGATTGAATACCGTTCTTTCTTGGTGAAGAAGCGATGCTTTCTTTGTGAACACATAGACATCATAGACACCCTTCCACCCTTGGGGTCTGAGGCAACCTGAAGACGTTATCTTTTGGACACGACTTCAATCAGAGCCTGGAAGGTGTGACTTTCCCAAGCAGTCTTCAAAGTTTAACCTTTGGAACCTTAGCTGCACGACACCGGCCACAGCTTGGCCAGTCTAGGTGGGCTTTTTGTTTACTGACCTTGACCTGGTGTTTTTTGGTTTCCCGTGGCTCAATCAAGTGATCCAAACATTTGTGGAATTTGCACATTTAGAAGGGATATATTTTGTACGTAATATGTATGTATATATGTATATGTACTGTATATATATATACATATATATATATACACATACACATCCAAGTCGAGCATTTCCCTTTCTTTGTTGGTATTGCCATCCCCATTTTCGAGGGTGAAATTGAAACCCGTTTTTTTCGTCAAAATCTGCGTTCTTCTTGGCTCGATCTCTTTTCGTCCCTTCTCATTTCCAGAATGAACTCCTCCATGATTTTTTGCTTCCACTTCTCTCAGAGTTGACCATTCTCAAACCACGCTCCACAATTCAACCGTAAACGGTTCCTTAAACAACTTCCAAAAACAACTTCCAAAAAACAGGGCTGTTGAAGGCTTTTTGAATTCCCGTGATAGATATTCGGTGATGTTCACGGATGTGAAAACGGTGCCTCTGCGACAGGAGCTTGCTTCCAGCAGGACTTGGAGCCAGCGAATCTTCCAGCGGCTCTTCAGCTGTTAAATCTGGGCCCAGGCTACGATTCGCCCTTGCACAGAGTGAAGCTGCCCCAGAGCCTCAGAAATCTGTCCCAAGGAATTGAACAGCAGTGTATTTTTTTATATTTTTTTGTTTGGACATCTTTGAAAACCCAATAAAAATGGATGTTAATAGTGTATACTACCAATTTTTGACATTAACATTGTTTGAAATGTCTACGTCCCGATCTGTACCATGGTACCATGGTGGCTTTGTACCATGTATGAGGGTTTTTCATTTCTGCCGCGCAAATCTTGTCCCACTCCGCACCAAGTCTGAAAGAAACTGTCATGGGTGGCCCTTGGGGGGTGCTGAGCATCTATCTATATTTGTACGTCACACGAAAAGGTATACGAATATGTATGTGATGTAGCATGTGTATGTATATATATACACGTGCTTATGATTAATTGTGCATATATATATGTATTCGTACACACGTATAAGTAAAAATATATACCTCTACATGTACATCTGCTACATTTACACCTATACATATACTCATGTGCATATACACATGTACGTATACACGTGCATGTGAATATTAAAATCGATCAACCATACGTATATATCTATATAGGCAAAACCATATTATAAGATAAATTGTGTGCACAACATTTGTTTCTTCTCAATTCCCATTTTGCATGATGAATTCTGGTTGACCGAGTAGTTTTGATTTTGGATGAACACATGGACCTGAGAATTGGGTGGTTTCCACTTGAGGTCCTTATCAGGTTTATTCAATCAACCTCTGGAAGATGTGGCGTTCCCAGATGGCCTGCAGCATTTGGCGTTTGGTTTTTATTTCAACCAGAGTCTTCAGAATCTACCAGATAGCCTACAGAGCTTGACCGTGGGGCATGACTTCAAGCAGAGCTCAGAGAGTGTCCAACTGCCCAAACAGTTACAGATCTTCAACTTTGGAGGTACACTGTGGCCTCACGCCAATCTCCAGCTCCCCAGCACACTGCGAAAACTCTCCTTGGCAAAACGTTTCAACCAAAGCTTGGATGACATGATGTTTCCAGCAACATTGGCAGAGTTGATCCTGGCAGGTGATTTCAATCAGCCATTGGATGGCGTCAGCCTTCCGGAAGGCTTGGAGAGCTTAACGCTGGCAGGAGATTTCAATCAGAGCCTGGCAAGGGTGAGATTTCCTGAAAGCCTTCTTGAGTTGAAGTTCCTCAGCTGGTGTTTCATACATTTTTTTTTAAGAAATCTCCATTCACAAGTTGGGATGATTTTTCTGGTTCAACTTTCCTGATTTTCTGTGAAGATTCCCAGGTTGGGATTTCGTTTCAATCGTGACTTGGATGCTGTGACCTTTCCGGCCAAGCTTCGGGGTCTGACCTTTGGCCATGAATTCGACCAGGACATCCGAGGCGCAGCGTTCCCTGACGGCCTTGAAAACTTGAGTTTTGGTTGGGGATTTGATCAGGTCTTGGATGGAGTGAAGTTGCCAAGTGGCCTGAAATCCCTGTCATTCAAGCACTTCTTCAACCAGGGCTTGCAACTTGGGCATATTTAGGGCATTTACTTTCATTCTTCTTTCGAATTGGAGAATTTCTTTGCGGAATCTGCAGGCAAAGGAAAGTTAGACCAGGAATGTCAACCCCGGATTAATAAACCCTGGTCTAAAATAGTGATAGGCCCCCAGTAGAATGCTACCCCCACCAATGATCAATGACTGAGTTGGGAAAAAAATCCGGAGCTGACATTAAATTAGCCGTTAGTTGATTAAAACATTTTAAACCACTTGAAACATCTTGACACTATATTGACGGTTAGGGGATGTTGGGGGCAACTATCCCAACATAACCATATTTCAAAGGGGTTAACCTGAAAATAATGAGACTATGTGACTCTGATAACATAGCCCCAAATGACAATATTTCAAATGGGGAATTAGCAACATATCATATATGAATGAATGGTCAGTAGAAATTATATACATACACGTGTTTGTATAATATATTATGTATATATATATATATCTATAATAGCTATATGTATGTATACACATCTGATCCCCAGGCAAGGGCTCTCCCTGCCACCTGGCTTACGAAGCTTATGCCTCAGCACCGCCTTCAACCAGTCGCTGGATGCGGTCGCGCTTCCCAGCGCCCTGCAGGAACTGAGCTTCGGGAGTGATTTCAATCAACCGATGGCAGGCCATGTCCTTCGAACATGGCGCGAAAAACGATGGTTTTATGAGGATATAGCCTGATATATCCTGATATAACCTGATATATCCTGATATAACTATGGTTTAATAGGCCCAAACTATGGATATAACATGATATATTACAATATAAACTACAGTTGCTGGGGCTTTTAATACAAGCCTTACCTTGTATGGCCCTAGTATTTTGGAAGCCCGAAATGAAACTTACGAGTGTCGCGTTCTTTTGTTGATTTGAAACCATGTCAATCATTTTGTGACGCCAGTTACTATTCCTTGGATATACTAAGCGCATTTGCTTTTGGTTCAAACTTGGAAATGCCACCCAAAACAAACCCCGATGGTTGCTATAAAAACTCAACCATCATCAATCTCTTGTAAAATCTCATCCAGTTGGGACAGGCACCGGGCCAACAGGGCCCTTGGAACCATTGCCATCGTGGGGTTTCACAGGGCCATTGTCGCCAGGTGTTCGGCTTCCTGGCGGTCTAGTGAAGTTGGTCTTTGGAGACAACTTCGATCAGAATTTGGAGGGGGTCATCTTTCCAGTGAGCCTACAGGAGTTGACCTTTGGAGCCTTGAGCGATGAAGGATGTGGAAGGCTTTATTGATGTGGGTTTACATTCATATATATATATTTATGTATATATATATATATGTATATGTATATGTATATGTATTGTGTATAGAGGAATGTATATACAACATACACATTTTATACTGGGGGTAGGTGTACGTGTATATATGCTGCACACACACATATATATATATATACACACAATTATACACATACACACAGTCAGTATGACTGTAAGATGTACCGGCATGCATTGCTGCTCAAGTCTGAATGACAGCCCACTTACAGGAAACTAAATCGCCGCCATATCTTTTGTATGATTTAGTTCCCCTTTAGTTGTGATTGTTTACTAATCCCGTATATAATCGCCAACACCGCTTCCATTCAACAAATCGTTCAGGAAGCGATTTCAGCCACAGCTTGGAACACGTGAACATTCCTTGCACTTTGCAAAGTCTCAGCTGCAAGCGTGTTACCGTGAGCTGCAAAGCAATCTCTGGCATTCTCGGATGATGGCACAAAAATGTCGCTTTTGTCGACGGCCAGTCTTCCCAATTCTGCCCGTTGGAAGACGTCACTTGGGAGTTCTGTATGACTGGTTTTGATCCAGGTTTGTTCACCCGGTCAGTTGATAATAGTTGACAACCATAGACTTCATAGTGTAGACTTTCTCGCAGACTTGATTTTCCACATCGTTTTTGCTGGTTAATGACTCACCACCTGACATTTGCCCCTCCCAGAAGCACAGACTTTGGTAAGAAACCCTGGTGAGCTGGATTTCGTAGCTTCCAATATCAATTTGTTTTCTATCCTATTTTCGATTGGCCTAAGAAAGGCCACGAATCTCTGCGAACGCCAGGTTTTGGACAAGCCAAAGTTCTGAGTGGCAAATTTACGAACCTCTACAAGCTCTCCTCGGTGGGGTGGTGTTTGCCGTTGAGCTTTTGAATGGGTGGAAAAACCTCGGAGGATTCGTCCTATGATTGGGTTTACCACGTTGGAATGCTCATGAATTCTACGGATCAACAGAATCTTCCCAGTGCGATGCAGGAACAGCTGTCCAAACAAGACCACTACGATTTTGGCATGCGGGCAGTGAAGTTTGGAAGCTCAGAAGGGGAGTTCGCACAGCCTGTTAATCAAGGAAACAACATTGCTATGTTTTACCCAATGTTTTGTTTCTGCCCATTGCTTTCGGGTAATGAGTGGTTGATTGGTTCAAAGGCAATCAATCTCATGGCAAAATGGGCATGGTTGAGAAGCTTCAAAGTACTCAGCTTCAGGTTGGGACGCATGAATTATAAATCCCTGAATATGTGGTAAACCCAAATAGAAAGTGGACACTCCCCAATGACTTCTCAGAAATGTTCAACCCCAAATTGAAGATTATTGACATTGCTTTTACCACACCAAGTGGTTTATGAGCCATCATGATCCATGAAAATACAACTCGGAACGTTCTATGTATTTGGGGTGTTTGCGGCTTGCGCCCTTTGCTTCGAGTTCTGCCATGCCAAGATCTGTCCTGGTGATGGCCGGTAGCCTGAAACGCGCAGATCCAGATGAGGAACCGGCAGATTTTCAGTGGGTACACATTTTTGGTAAGCTAACATGACCATGAAAAACCACCATGTTTATATACAGTAATAGGACGTTTCATCGGTAAGAGATGGTAAGATGATCTACAAAAGGGGCCATTGTGACCATGGTGGGCCTTATCGATTTTCAGGATGAAAACATCCTGCTGATCCGTGCGATGCGAGATTCCAACGTCAGCATCTCAGCCACATGCTCTCAGTTGTAGGGAATTGACCCCAACATACAGAAGAGATCTAGTATGATCTAGTTGAAGGCATCAGATCATTTGGTTAGAGATTTTGCAGCAAATCTCCATGCAGAAGCTTCAATCTTTTTGAAGCATTCAGAGTATTTTCGGAGTTGCTTTGAGGTGCCAAAGTTCCTGTCAGATGATCTGCCTCTTTTCTTCGCCATTGTGAATGATCTCTTCCCAGGAATTGAGGTCCCTTAGCTGCAGCCATGACTCTGCCGCCACCTGTGCAGTGCTGCAAGCTTCCCGAAGCTGTGTTGAACCAGCAACTTGTGAGGTGCCATACTACGACTATGGTTCCTTGCTCGCAAGCAGGGATGAGTGGGTCAATCTTGGAGGCCCCGGCATGGGAGATCCATGGCCCTGACTCTCCAGGTGCGCTGCAAGTGGAGATCGAGCGCGGTCTTCAAAAGCAGAGTATGCAGGTGCGGTCCAACTGCATGTCTGGGACTTCAACCAGACGCTGATTTGGCGAAGTCATGGGGCATCCCCAAGTCATCATGGGTTTCAATACTAAGTCACGGTGTACCCTCGTTTAAGGAAACATCCATTTGTCCAGACCCTGATTTGTGCAGTATGTAATAATGAACGTAGTTTTGACAGAACCAAAGACAGGAAATACTTGACTGCGATCAGTGTATACTAGGCATTGACATTAACATTCCATGAAACCGAAGTAGATTTTCAGCGGCTTGTTGGTGACTCTATGCTGAAAATTGTTCATTGCTTTGCTGATTGTTATCAGCTGTTTGATTCTTTGACGGTTCTTAGTGCCTCGTTTACCCAGAAATCTTGGTCATTTGACCAAGTCTTGCTGGTAATTTTCTCAGACGTGTTGGATATATATATATATTATAATATATATATATACATAATATAATATATAATATATTATATATTTCATATTATCTATTATATATATTATATTATACTATATATAACCTATATATATTATATTATATATTATATATTATATATTATATATTATATATATTATATATTTTATATTGTATATTGTATATTGTATATTGTCTATATTATATATTATATATTGTCTATATGATATATAGTATATTATACTATACATAACCTATATATATTATATTATATATTATATATATTATATTATATATTATATATATTATATTATATATTATATATATTATATATATTATATTATATATTATATATATTATATATTATATATATATTATATATATTATATATATTATATATATTATATATATTATATATATTATATATATTATATATATTATATATATTATATATATTATATATATTATATATATTATATATTATATATATTATATATTATATATATTATATATTTTAT